ATTACTTTCTTGATCAACTTCTACAATGCTTTCTTGATGAAATCAGATAAAGAGATAATAACTTATGGTTTGTGACAACCAAAGTTAAAAGTTGTATATCTAAGATTGCTTATGCTTGAAAGGTAATTCTATATATAATTTTGCCTCGTATATATTTATATTTGAATTATAAATATAAACTCAATACTGGATTTTATATTTGATTGGTGATTATATAAAATATAATTTTAAAATCAAATTAATATGCTATTTTTATTTTATCATGTCAAATCCTGAAAAATTAGATCTGTAACTTTTAATATATATGAATTATTTATCTTTATATGTAGATATCATGTATACTGAAGGCAAAGTAAGGAAGAAAATCAAGGAATCAGTTAAGATTGCACTAAAACAATAATTTTCTTCCACTAGATATTTGACAGTTAAATATTCACTTATTTTATTCATAAAACATGAATAATATTTTGTACTTTTGAATATGCTCCTGCGGTAGCATTATCGAAACAAAAATTATAACATATCGATTGTGGATTTTAAATTAGTTTCACTCTTTTTTTTATTTAGCAAAAATTAAGCATTTAATTTACATAATAAAATTTATTTTCATTCCCTCAAGTGAATGAAATAGTATATCACAATATTGGTCAAAAACAAAAAATAATGATGATAGTGTTATTTTTATAGTATTTTTTATGTAATTTTTATTAAGATTTTTAGTATCTTTTATTTATTTAACTTAATTTTTATTTAATTTTGTTATATTTTTATTCAAAAGCTTCCTTTAAACACAACCACTTGATCTTAAGAAAATTTGTAGGATTTGGCACAGAAAAGGACAAAATGAAGCAAAATATTTAGCCTTTAGCACGCCTGGGTCGTGCTAGGTAGCACGCCCATGCTACAAACACCCTGGACTTCCAGAGCCTAGCATGCCATGCCCGTGCTATTAAGCACACTCGTGCCACAATGGAGATATCAACCAAGGGCTTGCTCGCTGAAGCACGCCCGTGTTGTAATTACACTGGACTTTCAGAGCCTAGCACGCCCTGCCCGTGCTATTAAGCACGCCTGTGCCACAAGACCTCACTCAAGCATGCCTTTGAGCACGACCCATGCTGATCCTTCCACAAAGCCAAGATCTAGCATGCCCAGACTGTGCTTCACAGCACACCCGTGCTAAACACCAAGAGCTGATTTGAGTCAAAATTGCCAACCAATTCCCACCATTTCCATGAGCTAACCTTGGATACTTCCTTCACATGCAAATCAAGCTTTAATCTATGCACATGGGCAAGTCATGATTGAGAGAAATTTAAGGCTTAATTGAGAACTTTATTTCCTAACAAAGGTGGACTTTATTCCCTAAACTATGTGGATTTCCCTCCCAAGAAGTCTATATAAAACAAAGGTGGACTTTATTCCCTAAAACTTATGTGGATTTCCCTCCAAGAAGTCTATATAAAGGAAGAAGAGTTCATTGTATATCCATCCCTTAATGATCCCCATATCAAACATTCTAATTCCATTCTATCTCATTCTCATTCTCGCTTTAGTCTTGTTATAGTTTTCAATTCTTCAAAGAGAGTTCAAGTAATTTCAAGAGTTGTGCAAAGGATTCAAGGAAGTCATTCCGAAGCCAATTGTTAACTAGTTTCTTTTTTCTAAACTCTTATCTTATTTATTTATTTCAATTATTCTTTATTATTATGGAATATTTATCAAGTATTATTGAGTTTTAATAATTACTATGTCCTAACTAAACCTCTTCAATACCTAGGAATTTGGATGTAGGCTTAATTTCTTTTCTAATTTATAATATTAGATTTGTTTTTCTTTGTTCAAGTTATGATTATTGATGGGGTAAATTATTATTTAAGTCCTCAGGTTTTACATAAATTAACCAACTAATCACAGGTTGAAGAAAATAATCTAGCTAGTCCCTCAAAGTTTTAACTCCGTTTAATTAAAAGGTCCTTTCCGTCCGAAAAGTTAGTTTTTTTTCCGTTATTATAGAGTAAAAGACTAAAATAGCTCTCCCCAGCTGACATGGACCATAACGGTAAATTTATTATCTAGTCCTCGTTTTACCATAATTATCTAACTAATCTCCAAGTTTTTGCCGCAAAAATATTTAACTAGTCCCCGCTCAAGGTTTAACTCCGTCTAATTAAAAGGTCCTTTCCGTCTGAATAATTAGTTTTTTTTCCGTTAATTGAAGAACTAAAAGACTAAAACACCTCTCCCTAGCTGACGTGGACCAGTAATGAGCGATACAGGAAGGGGAAATTGTATAAACTAAAAAGAACCTAAATAATTCCCTATAATTTTATGCACATGTAGAATTGTATAGACTAAGCTTAATTACACGAGTAGGAAAATTAGCTTCGCTAAATTTAAAAATGAAAATTGAAGAGCTTCATATAAAGTCGATGGAGATATAATAATTTTTCTCTCTTAAATGTACGGTTTAGTTTTAGATTATGAATATTTGCAAATTGAAAACCATTAAATATAATTATGTCTCTAAAATATTACTATCTTCATTCTATAATATTCCCCACATTTAGAATTTCATGTCTTTTAAAAAAATTATTAAATTTGTATAAATTATAATAAATTATTGAATAAATTTTGATTACTTAAGGTTACGTAATAAAATTAATTAATATTTTGTTATAATTTATAAGAATAAATTTACTTACTTAATTACCATAAAAATATTAAAAGTATTTATGAATAGATGGAATACTTTGTTTTTTTTTTTAGATTTTATCAATGATAATAGAAATGTTTCTTGATAAAATTTGCATATTAAATATGAATAAAATAGAAAATATGTTTATTACTTTTTTTTCTAAAAAAGAAACTATGATGATAATTTGGGGTAAAAAGAAAAATGAAGTAATTACTTTTTTGAAGATGTATTTACTTTCATGATTCACTCAAATTTAATAATATTTAATTAGAACATCAAATTAATTTTTTTATCCTTTTTTTAATACTGTCTTTGTTTTATAATACTTGTCAGATTTGAGAAAATAGTTTGTTCTAAAATATTTGTCTAATTTAGTCTAAAATACTTGTTATATTTACGGTTTTAAGGAGTAATAAATATTTTTTTCATATTTACCCTTTGTGTATGATTAATAATTATTATTTCAATTTAATGATTTTCTTAGAGATTAATATTAAATTAAGAGTAATATTGTCAAAATTTATTCAATAATTTATTATAATGGACCTTTTTATTAGACGGTTAACTGGGGCGCTAGATATTTCTCAAAACCTGTATAGTTGTTTTATGTAAACCTGAAGGGACTATAAATAATTTAGCCCTTCTTGAATAAACTTAAATGCTTTTTCCCGGCGAGTTCCTCTGGATTGATTATTTCATTAAATCACTATCGAGAGGATTTGGATTGGGAAGTTAATGAATCACATGAGAAACCTGTACGGAAGCTATTATGGTTTGACTCATGGGGGTTTTTTTAAATTAACAGATTAATTTATGAATCTACAACTACAAATTTATGTTAATTCATGGTTTTGATTGTGCTATCGGAAGGATAGGTGTTAGGATTAACTAACTACATCTGGGAGAGCTTGTTAAGTGATTTTAGAGTTGTTTCCCTACTTGGAATATTATTGATTAATTAATATATAATTGGAATAGATTAGTGAATTCATCCCTAGGTAGTTTTAATCCTTGCTTTCTTTATCAATTATATTTCTTGCTTGCTTCTTCTTATTTTTTTATTTATATTCTTGAAACCAATTTCTCATTATGTTTAATAATAATGGTTTTACACTTTGGTGTATACATCTCTGGGAATGATATTCTACTCATCCATACTATTTATTGTGCGTTTCGTCATTGGAGCCTGTCAAGTTTTTGGCGTGTTGTCCGAGGTTGGTGTTACCTTCATGATTATCCTAATTTTTTTGATTCATTTTGTTCATATTATTCTTTTTTTTTTTTTTTGAGATTATTACAGGTTTTTTTCATGCAAAGAAGGGTCAGGAAAAACTGAACCCCTTGATCTTTGATCCAGAAAGTTGAAAAAGACTTACCGTGACAAAACGTTGCTAGAGGCCGTGGCCCAGAACAGCAAGCACATGGATCTTGATCTCCCTCCTTAGAACATCCTCAAACATGGCTTCAACCTATGTCGCACATTGCGAGATTACATACCCTTCTCTCATGGGCAACCTCAGTGGAAGCTAACAATTTTGAAATTAAACCCGCAATCATTCAAATGCTTTCCACCTCAATTCAATATGGAGGTTTACCTAGTGAAGATCCAAATGCTCAGATCACAAATTTCCTAGAGATTTGCGATACCGTAAAAAAAAAAGGCATTTCTGAAGATGCCATAAAGTTGAGACTCTTTCCTTTCACTCTTAGGGACAAGGCACGATCTTGGTTACAATCACGCCCTGCTGGAAGTTTTACAACATGGGAAGAATTAGCTCAAAAATTTTTAGCAAAATTCTTCCCATCTTCAAAAACTACAAAATTGCAAAATGAGATTATGACCTTTATCCATCACGATCAAGAAAGTTTGTACGAAGCTTGGGAGAGATTCAAAGATTTACTAAGAAAATGCCCTCACCACAGTTTGCCTAAGTGGTTACAAGTTTAAACTTTTTATAATGCATTGTCACCTAATATTAAAATTACTCTGGATGCAGCTGCAGGAGGATCTTTTGAAAGAAAAGAAATCGATGAAGCTTATGATTTGATAGAGGAGATGGCAAGCAATAGCCACTATCAAAGCTCTTCCAAGAGGAGGAAAACTGCAGGAATTTATGAGATTGATGCCATCACTACACTCAATGCCAAGGTAGACAATATGGTAAGAAAGCTAGACTTATTAACCACTAAATCTGTGAATTCCATTGTACAAGCCTGTGATAGATGCAACGAACAACATGGAATTGGAGAATGCATGTTAGATTCTGTAAATCCACAAACCTTGGAGTAAGTAAATTACGTGATGAATCAAGGAAGAAGAAATTACCCTTACTCAAATTCTTATGACAACAGATTGAGAAATCATCCTAATCTTTCGTACGGAAATCCAAATAATACCTTGAACGCACCACCAGGTTTCATACCTCCAGAGAAAAAGCCTCATGACGATCTCCTCACTGCTCTTTCCAAATCACACATGGATTTTATGAACGAAACCAGAGAGAACAATAAAATCCAACAAGCTGCGATAAGGAACTTGGAGATTCAGTTGGTACAATTTGCAAACATGATGGCAGCCGGACCTCAAGGTACGCTACCTAGTAACACTGAGAAAAATCCTAAAGAACAAGTACAAGCCATCACCTTGAGGAGTGGTAAGCAGTTAGAAGGTACAACCAGGATTGAGAAAGAGAAGGAAGAGCAGAGAAAGGTTCCCACCATTGATCTAGAAGAGAAGGAAGAAGTGAAACCTTATGTTCCATCTATCCCCTTTCCACAAAGATTAAAGAAATGCAAGACGATAAGAGTTTCCTCAAGTTTCTTGATGTCTTTAAAAAGCTTCAAATTATAAGAGTTTCCTCAAGTTTCTTGATGTCTTTAAAAAGCTTCAAATTAACATACCTTTTGCTGAAGCTCTTGCTCAGATGCCCAGTTATGCAAAATTCTTGAAAGAAATTCTGATCAAGAAAAGGAAAATCAATGATCAAGGAATGGTGATGTTCACAGAGGAGTGCAGTGCAATTATTCAAAATAAATTGCCTCCTAAACCAAATGATCCAGGAAGTTTTTCTATCCCTTGTAATATTGGCAATCTTAATTTTGAAAAAGCTTTAGCAAATTTAGGAGCTAGCATTAATCTTATGTCTTATGAAGTGTTTAAGATACTAGAAATGGGGGAGCTAAAGCCAACCAGGATGTCTCTACAATTAGCGGATCGATCAATCAAGTATCTGAAAGGAATTGTAGAAGACATGCTTGTCAAGGTAGGGAAATTCATTTTTCGTGTTGATTTTGTGATTCTTGACATTGATGAAGGTAGGGAAGGATCCTTAATCCTTGGAAGACTCTTTCTTGCAATGCAAGAGCATTGATTGATGTGCACGAAGGAAAATTAACTTTGAGGGTAGGACATGAGGACATAGTCTTTGATGTTTTGAAGTCATGTAAACTCCCTAAGGATAATGATGACTATTTTAGGATTGATGTTGTTGATGAATGTGTAAAAGACAATCTGCATAAGAAGGATAATAATAACATTAATCAAAACATCATAGATGAAGTGAAACCCCAAGGCAAGAATTGAAACAGTTTCCATCTTATTTGAAGCATGCATTCTTAGGTAATAATATTTGAAAGCATGATTCTTAGGTAATAATAGTTCTTTTCCTGTTTTTCCTGTCATTATTTCTTCTCACTTAACACTTGATCAAGAGGAAAAGATATTGCAGGTTCTACGGAAACATAGGAAAGCTTTAGGATGGTCAATTTCTAACTTGCAAGGGATAAGTCCAAGTTTATGTATGCACAAGATCCTAATGGAGGAAGACTAAAAACCTTCAATTGAGCATCAGAGAAGATTGAACCCAAACATGAAGGTGTGGGTCCCGTATATGTATGGCACCTTGCATAACAAGGGAAGGGAATTTAAAATGAAGCATATGTATGTTAAATTATTATATATAAAATAGCAACTAAATCAGCAGCACAAAGCATATTCATCATTTGTTTTTGCAGATAGCAGTTTATTGGTTTTTCAGGCGGTAAACAGTGAGGCTAGGGTTGTAAAAGAAGTCATTGAGATTTATGCTTCAGCTTCAGGCCAACAAATCAATATGAACAAGTCTTCTCTTTGGACTATGCAAAGTGCAGCTATTAATTAGAACTACTTCACAATGTATTATTCAATAGTTGAACTTCTTTATGACGGAAAGCTATTGTATTTAGAACTTCTTTATAAAGTTTAGAAAATCATATAAGACTATGTGAGAGACAGTTATTAAAATTAGAACTGCTTCACAAAGCTTTAGTCAAGTTTCGAAAACTGATGAGAAACCCAAGTAGTGAAATATACTGTAAATAGATGAACAGTTTAGAACTTGATATATTCACTTATCAGAATTCTAGAGTTCTAATATTCAGAGAAGATAAGACTTATTCTAGTTTTAGAATATCAGAATCATTAACAACTTTAACATTTCTAAAATATAAACAGAAGTGTAAGTAAAGTAGTATCAAGCAAAACTTCAGAAATTAAAAAGATCAACACTAAATCGTCTTATAAACAATTTTGAGTCGCCACCGCGATTGTTTAGGCAATGGGAACCGTTTATAAAAATGACTTCATTTTAAACCCAATTTTGTTTTTAAGGCCAAATTATTTTAAAAGACTGGTCAGGCGCAAACAATGTGATTCTGGTAAGGGAATTGGGTACGCCGAGGCCCGTTGGAAGCCGACGTCCGGAATAAAAAAAACGGCCTCTATTATTAACGGATAATGATTTCTAATTTATTTAGTTAGAAAAGTCAATGTATTTATTTGAATTGAAACACAAACCCATAATCAGTTCCTATTTGGAAAATTGTTTAATCGTCCCAAACAAATCTAATTATCACATAACAATTATTCAAATTAAAGCAATTAAATCAAAGCAATTAAACCATATAAATAAAAGACCCGCTCTTGCCTTATGGTTCAAGGCGGGCGACAAACCGAATCAAAAATATTAAATGGAATAAATAAATGACCTACTCTTGCCTTATGGTTCAAGGCGGGCGACAAACCGAATCCAAAAAAATTATATAAACCGATTCAAAATTAAATACAAAAATTACAAAAATAAAATCACACATAATTATTATTTAACACTAAATATACAAATTATTATTAATAAACATGTAAACATGTAAATTAATTTTAAAACATAAATAATTTACAAAACTTAATTCTAAGCCATTTAATTATTTTTATTTTCTAAATAATGGCATTTAATTAAAATAAATCTACAAATTAATTTTAATTGTTTTTTATTTAAAAAAACAAATTGTAAAGTCCAAATAAATAAACACATGAAATAAATAAACACATAATTAAACCGGATCTAAAAATATATAAATCGAATGAAAAATTAAGTCCATAAACTAATAAAAATAAAACCATCCATAATTATTACTCAATATTTAACTCATATTTTAATTTTTTAATTTTAATTTTTGCATTCAACCAAAAAAATAATAAAATTCATATGGATAAATATATAATCAGTATGATGAATAGTAATAAACAGTGCGTAAAAAGAATACAACTTAAATAGAACTTAAATATAACTTAGGAAAATATAAAATGACCAAATATAAATAGACTATAATTTAAAGAAATATAAATTACTAAAAGCATAAAAATAATAAAAATACAAGTACAAGAATATGGTAAAAATGTTAGAAAATTAACCTGATCTCAGATTGAGGTTTGAATGGGATCAAAAGTCCCCGTTTTTAATCTCCTAGAAAGCCTTTAAATCCAAGGATTTAAAGTGAGTTTTCTTTAATTTTATTTTTGCTATATTTCCTCTTTTTTAATATTTTTAAATTCACTCTAAAATTAAATTCTAAATAGCAATCTCTTTTCAAAAATTAATTCATAAGAATTTTTGAAAAAGAAATTTAAAGTATTATGAAGTGATAGAAATTATGTATTGTAGATTGTATAAGTGTAAAAGTGTGGGTGTAAGATTGTAGTTGTTAGAAGTGTTTGGTAGTGTCGAGAGAGAGAGAGCGATAGGTGGTATTTATAGAGTTTAGGGAACGCGTTGTACAGTAGCACAGCTACTGTAGCTAGCGTTTTCCTTTTTTTTTTTTTTTAAAGTTAGTGTTTGATTAGGGGAACCAGCGTGCTAACAGTAGCACAGCTACTGTAGCACGCGTTTTTTCACTTTGTTTTTTTAAGTTAGTGCATTTGATTAGGGAAACGGCGTGCTACAGTAGCAACAGCTAAACTGTAGCTACGCGTTTTTCCCCTTTTCTTTTTTTTTTTTTTTTATATTATATATTTTAATGCTGCACAGCTGCATCTCACACAGCTGCAATGCACAGTAACTGTGTGATGCAAGCCCATGACGTAAATATGATGGCAATTCCCTGTTATTTTTGATTTTATTTATTTATTGTTTATTATTATTTTGTTTATTAATTATTTTTTTGTTTATTTTTAATTTTTTTTAAATCCTTGGATTAAAAGACTTTTAGATGGTGTATTTTAACCCATCATCCTCGTTCATCAATTGGATAGCAGGGCATAAAAAAACACCGCGTCAACAGTTTGCCCTCCACACTTTAAGCATTAATTGTTATAAACGATTAATGTTAAAGTGGTCCACTGACGCGCCTTCATCTGGTAATCATCTTAAATTCGGTTTGATTGGCTTTGAAGACACCTCCGAGCTCGTCGATTGGCTTGAAGGATTTGGTTTGGAACCTTGATCATCTGGTCACCTCCTTGAGCTCAGTTTGAAATCCGGCTTTGTCGGCTCCCGTTGAATCTGTGATCATCTCCAAAGTTCGGTTTGATTGGCTTTGGAGGATTTTGTCGAATTTGTGATCTCTCCAAAGCTCGGTTTGATTGGCTTTGAAGACACCTCCGAGGCTCGGTTTGATCGACCTGAAGGCTCCAGTTTCAAGGTTCTGTTGAATTGACTGTTGAATTGACCTGAAAACATTTTCAAAAGAAAGAGCAATCTCTTCAGCTCAGCATAGTCGGCTTCAGAGAATGTTTGAAAAGAGACCAAAGCACGACGTAGTCGGCTTGGTTGTTTACTTCCTCAGCTCGGCGTAGTCGGCTTCAGAGAGTTTGAAAAGAGACCAAAGCAAAGCACGGTGTAGTCGGCTTGGTTGTTTACTTCCTCCGCTCGGCGTAGTCGGCTTCAGAGAGTTTGAAAAGAGACCAAAGCACAGCATATTCGGCTTGGTTGTTTACTTCCTCAGCTCGGCGTAGTCGGCTTCAGAGAGTTTGAAAAGAGGCTTGGGTGTTTACTTCCTCAGCCGGCCGTGTTCGGCCTTCAGAAGAGTTTGAAAAAGAGAACCAAAGCACGTCATAGCGGTGTTTACTTCCTCGGCTCGGCATAGTCGGCCTCAGAGAGTTTGAAAAGAGACCAAAGCACAGCATAGTCGGCTTGGTTGTTCACCTCTTCAGCTCGGTGTTGTCGGCTTCAGAGAATATGAAAAGAGTCCAAAGCACGGTGTAGTTGGCCTAGTTGTTCACCTCTTCAGCTCGGTGTAGTCGACTTCAGGGGATTTTAAAAAGAATCCAAAGCACGGTGTAGTCGACTTTGTTGTCCACCTCCTCAGCTCAGTTTGATCAGCTAGGGAGGATTTTGTTGTTGAAAAGACCTGAAGGCTCCAGTCGGACTACTTTAGCGTTCTTTTTTTAAGTATGGAGAATGGTCCTTGAAATCAGCCTTCGCAATAACACCATCACTGAATCAAAGAAAGGGAACCCCAGTCTCAATACAACATCATCACTGCTTGTGGCAAACGGCTTCGTGAAATCATCACCGGTTAGTCATTGAGATTGTCCTGATCAGCTTCGCAATACATCATCACTAATCAGGAAAGGGATTGACTCAATCAGCTTCGGAATACATCATTTCTAATCGAGAAAAGAAAACCCAAACAGCTTCGCAATACA